ACGAGGATCCTTACATTACTGCACCATCTGTCCTCGAGACGGTACACAATGCAATCCTGGCGGCTGCAAACGCCGATTGCGAAAGTCAAAGCCCCGTCATCTTTGCCTGGACTGTTATCGTTCACCGCATGTTTGTCTCACATCACGAAAGAATCGAAAAGCGAGACGCTCTGCAGAACCAGCGCTCCCAAGAGACATTCGAAGCTGGTGTGCTGATCCGTCCTACGCCTAGTCGCCGACTTTCGGCCGGTAGTATCGTCTCTCTCGACGGCAAGTCGTTCGACATCTTCCTTACAGGCGCTGGCCTTGATAAGGACATGCAGGTTGTGGAGCAGCTCGCAGTAGCTGTGACATCCAATGGGCGGGCGTATGAGGTTGTTTCCGAGATGGCGCTTGCTATCGGTGGTTTGAGTGAGGGCGCTTTCACGCCGCTCATCAGCTCGAGGGTACGCCTTGCCTTTGTTGATTTCCTGAAGGCTACCTATCCATTTGTGGGATACCAGTCTGACTCGGTCACCTCGCTTCTGTCAGTTCTGTCGGCTGGTCAACAATACTGGGACTTGGCAAAGCCTGTCCTTGCACCCGCGAACGATGTTCTGGGTGAAGTACTTCAAGATGCCACCACTCTGGAGTATTACTTCCACCAAGCACTAAGCCGCTACCCTTTCGAGCTGTTGCCCTTCCTCAACATTTGTCGTGCTTTGGCAAACTGCACTGTTGCCGATGGTCGTTCAGATATTGTGGTCAATCTTTTGCGCAAAACCCCAACTCTCACCTTTATCCTACCTGACGATTACCAAGAATATGAGTTGGCCCAAGAGGAAGACAATACTAACACTTTCTGCCTCCTGGAGGATATCCCACTCTTCACACCCGCGACCGCATGGAACAGGAGGACTCGACTCGATGACTCATTCAGGATACCTGCGGAAACCTATGGACGCTTCATCACGGATACGGGGCGAGTTGTTCTGATGGAATATGAGCACTCAGCGCTCGCCCTACTAGGCAAGAGACTGGAGGTACAGCTCTCGCCCGAGATTTACCGCAGCGAGCTAGATGGCTTCCAGCCAGAGGAAACGGCGGAGACTATCGTTCTGTTGTCTACTCTTCTTCGCGCTGAAGTACTCAAGTCTGAGCAACAGGGACTCAGCGGTGACGATTCGCTTAAGTCTGGATTGGAGTTGTTGGAAGAAATTGGCAAGCACATTTCTGGCAACAAGGATCTGGTTGCTGTTGTGTGCGAGACCATGGACGTTTACATGCAAGACGACAAGGCAACTGATGGCCAGGGCATCACAGTGCTCAACTCCTGCGTCCAGTTTTTGCATGCAATTCTGCCCTTGTGCCCTACTAGGGTGTGGTCTTACCTGGCCCGCTGCGGACTTTTGAACTCCGATGCTCAAGCTGGTAAACTGGCAAAGATCACAGGCAACCTGGATCTTGTTGGTGATCGCTTCGACTTGCTCCTCTCTTCTGTTCGCCTCTTCGACAGCCTCATTGACAGCGTCAAGAGCAGTGCTGTCCAGCGCAAGTCGGGCAACAAGCTAGTTGGTCGGCAGAAAGTATCAAATAATGTCTGGCTTGGCGTGGCAGACAAGGTGCTCGGTAAAGTCAGCCTGGCCATCGCGCAAGCCGCTGTGGACGTATTCGAGACTTCGTCAACATGGCGGTTTGCTTCAGAACTACACCGAACTCTGCTCATCCGCCATGTGGTTCCGGTGATGGACCGCATCATTTCTCACACTTACGGTATGGGTAACAAAGATAACTCAGAGACCCTGACGGTGTGCTTGGAGCCTGCCGCTTCCTACATCATTGATTCTTTCCTCTCGCCGTCTACTGGCTCTCTTCGGTTCCAGCCGCTCCTGGCTACACTTGTCAACGGTTTGCACATCCCGGATTCAACACTCTATCAGGACAGGCTAGCTTCCGCACAAGAGCAACTCATCTCGACCCTCAAATTCACGACAACGCTGCTGCGTGTGGCCAACTACCTCGAACGACCATCAGCAAGGTTTGAGGATCATCTTTTCAAGACATCGTCGATTCTCGCGAGGCTCTGCGCCATATGCGAGCAATTCCGGCGACCGGCTCTTCTGCTCCTCGAGGCGCTGGTTCTGAGCGCAGCCAAAGCCAATGACGACCCTCCATCACTTCTAGGATATCTTGGTCCTCTGTTGTCTCGGTCGTTCATTCAGGTGCTGTCAAGGCTCGATAAACCCTTCCTTGTTAGCAGGGACGTGCAAACCACATGGAAGTTCTTCTCGACAATTGTTCAAAACCGTCAAACATGGTTGTCGAATTGCCTGCTGACTGGCAAGACGCCCAGAGATGCTCTGAAGGGCGGCAAGAAGGACGCTTCATCCGCCCCCAATTCCGTCCTTGCCACTGCGTTCACGAAGCTGAGAAAGATCAAGGAACTGGAGATTGCGGAGGCGCTTCGTATCCTGGACTTTGTAGCATCATCCCAGAACCACTGGCCCTGGACTATCTTTACCATGCAGAAGGACTCAGCCTTCTTAGATTCTTTGCGTCTTTACGTCAAGGACCTTAACAGCTTCACAGTCACCAGCAAAACGGACGCCGTCAAGGCTGCCATCGATGCAAAGATGGCTGCTTACATTGCCGAGATCTTTGCCATGCAGCTCTACCATTTGCGTCAGATGGGTGGCGCTGATGTATTCGCGAAGAGCCTGGTGTCAGACCTCGACTACTATCTCCGCGATGGCGTCGAAGTCTCTAGCTACAACAACTCCCTTCACACCAACTTTGCGAAGAACTTCACAAGCAAATACCCAGGAGTCTCTCTGGAAGCCTTTAAGCGAACGGCTCTGAGGCCTGGTGAGCTTGGCAGAAGCTACTTCTACGACCTGGAAAGTGCTACTGAAATGCTAAGCTTCGACCCCAGCTGGCATGGTCGTCGCAACAGCGGTTTCTGCAACGAAATGGGCATTGCTAACGCAAACCTATCCCTCGTTGACGCGCAAATTGTGAGTTTCTCTTCAGCTACAAAAGTTAGTACTAACCCTTTGCAGTCGTTGTTCCACGCTTGGGAATTCTTGTTACTTGAGCTCAGCAGCAGTCTTCCGGAGAACGAGACTATTGCCAAGCAGATGCTCCAGGTCTCTCAACAGTGCCTTGAGGCGAACCGATCAAACCAAGGACCCGAGAACATTTTCATGCGCATTGTCGAGGAGCGTGCCGACCTCAGTCTTCTGCTCGTTCAGCGCCTTGTCGGTCGTCCCATTTCATCCCACGATGTTAACCAGGTCCTCGGAACGCTCTTCACTATCGTTAGCGGAGTCGAGGAGCCGTTTAACCCGGGATCTATCTCGTACTACCGAACCATGCTCAAGACCATCTACGTCACTCTGCGGGCTTACAGTGCAGCTGAGAAGAAGGGCCTTGGAGCGTCCAAGAACGGCGGCGAGGGATTCTCCGTCACACTCACCCAAACCATTTTGAATCTGCTGGATAGAGTGGTCGCCAAGGGATTCAGGACTCTTGTCGCTCTTGTTCACGATACCGAGGCTGCCGTAGCGCCCGAGGATTTGGCTCTCCTTACCGCCATCCTGCAAGCCTGTCTCAATATGCCGACAATCGACCAATGCCAGACGCAGATTCTGAACATCATGGCATCATATGACGCCATGCATGCTGCAACATCGCTCTTCTCGTGGGCCGACAAGCTTGCCGTTAACAACGACCCCATCTACGGCGAACTTAGTTTGCTGTTCCTCTTGGAGCTCTCGACACTCCCGGCGGTGGCAGAACAAATGGCTTGCGACGGCTTGCTGAGCCACTTGACGTCGGCTGGCATCACAAATTTCATGCGCCGTGGAAACATCTCCCCCTTCTCAGAAGCCATCGGACCACAGCGATGCTATAGCATTTGGGTAAAGGGCGTACTTCCTTTGCTGCTGAATCTGCTTACAGCCCTGGGTGGGACCGTTGCTCCCGAACTTGCCTACGTTCTGAACCAATTCCCTCTTCTGCTCAAGTCTAGCGTCGACCGTTTTGAGGCTCCCGGGGCCAGCCGGACCGCGTCTAGAGAAGCGCCTCACTACGTTACCCTGCTATCCGTATCTGAGGTTCATTCCCTTGCGCTTTTGACCCGTGTCATTGCCGCTCTGCGGACTGCAAACAACAGAGACATCCCCGAGGTTCAATGGGACGCCGCTTCGTTACTGGAGAACATCGACTTCTGGCTTTCCAGCCGAAAGCTGCTCCGCGACAGACTCCTGCCACTGGGCCAGCGCGAAGTCGAGTGGAAGAGCACCAAGACGGGCGCATCCGGCGATAACGGACAGCCAGAGAACCTGCTCGAGAGCAAGGTGCTGTCGCAACTGGAGGCTGTGAGGGATGTATTGAGCGAAGAACTAGAGGAGGACTAATAGTAGCAGTCACGATATGAGCGGCCTCGTAGCCCAGGGAACGAAAGGGGGGATTCAAGATTAAAACATGGCTCAGGCGTTGATGTGTATAGGATGAAAGTGTACATTTTCCGGCAACCACTGGATCTCATTTGGTGTAGAATTAAATCAGCGGATACCCAAGCTGGGAACAACACCCTTTTGGTGCATGCCGTGAGCAGCATGGTTGTGAATGTCGGAGCACGTCTCAGTGAGAGAATGGAGTAGGATTTCTTCGATTGCCATAAATTTGGTGTCTTACACCCGCAGATGCCATGCCACCACGTCTATCCAGCCTTTTGAGAAAGTATTGTACAAGAAACCTCCCTCACGGGGTGTCGATATCAAATGATAGAAACGCCACACTCATCGGTTTCTCTTGCCATGTCTACGAACCACTCCAGTGGTTATTCGTATCCCACAGCGTCCAGCTTGGTCGTGGTGCTGGATAGTATTACACATGCGTGCAAGCCGACCTTTGGCCTGCCGCTAGCATTCCCATTTCGGATTTTTCGTTTGTTCTCTCATTGATAATGTGCTTCATTTGTTTTTTACGGCCAGTGCCTTTTTCTGTTGGCAGAGCGTTTACTGGTTTTGCTGCATCTGGGCAGTCATCTGGGCGTTGTGCTCCTGGAAGCGCTCGCTCAGGCGCTGCTGGGAGAACATTTGCTTCTGGACGCAGCGGGAGATACAGCCGGTCTCGCGGGAGGAAAGGGACTTGGAGGTGAAGTCGTCGATGCAGGAGGTGAAGCAGTGGTCGACGAGGTTACCGAACAGCTATGAGGGATAGACGTCAGCGCCGTTGTTTTCCAAGCTGAGAGATTTGCGACATGAGAGCGCAACTGCAGCCCGTAAGACTGATTGGTGAAGATGTGCAACATACGTTCATGAACTCCTTGACCTGGCGCTTTTGCAGCCTCTGCTGGAGCTGGGTCTCCTCGGCCTTGGTAAGACTGTAGAAAGATGCGCTTTAGTTCGATATTCCCTTTCTCAGATTTTGCAGCTGTTCCAGCAGTTGCGTGCGGGGTTATACATACGCGTCCATTGTGGTTGTGTAGGGGTGTTTTAAAATGGGTGGCTTGCGTGGAAGAGGGAGGTTTGCCGTGAGCTATCGTGACGGTGGAGGTTGATGCTGCTTGACGATGACGATGAAATTTCTTTGGGAGGGATCGACTTTCGGGACCGGGACTGCACTTTGCTGCTGTCCCAAGATGCGCGACGGCTCGAAAGCTTGCTTTCCCTGGTCGATTCGAGCCAATCACCTCACAGATTCAAGTAGTTGATGGAGCTCTGATAGCGATAAGCACCTACCGAAGGATCGAGAGGGACGTTTGGATTGTAAGCTCGGTTAGATGCATTGGGCAAGGAAGAGTATCAAGGTATTCAGGCTTAGGCTCGAAAAGCCCCATGGCGCGGACTGCTCGCTTCCACAGTCTAGGTTTAATATCCAATAAAAATAATTCACCAGGAGCTCTCACGTCATTGAAAACACAAATATCTCAAAGAATCTCCAAGTAAGCAGCTGAGGCTAGGATTACTGCCAAAGCAAACATCGACTTGAGAAAGTGAACGTCTGGACCGTGCTGCCACACCAAAGCGGTTGCAGAGAGTGGGACCTGCCAGCGCGGCCAACAGTAACCGGTGCAGTGTGAGCTTCCTTCCCGCTCTCAACCAACAGAGCTTTCCCAAACGACCCCAACTCCTCACCACCACGACCACGACCATCATCTCCAGCCGTCACCAGCTGTCCGCTTGCAACGCCACTCATCACCGACAGCCCGGCCACAGGCAGCTCCCATCAGCTAGCTACTAGTCCACATCGCAGAAAGGCAGCTCTCAGCCGTGCCCTTCTCTTCCGACCAACCCTCCATGAGTGCCCGAGGCGGAAGCCGTCCACCTCCTCGTGGCCGCCCAAACAAGGTGACCAAGGCCGCCGCCGTTGCCGGCATCAAGCGGGACCCCCAAGCCCTTGCCCGCGCCACCGCCGCAGCCAGCCGACACCCCCCGTCTGCCGTCGACCACCAGCTCGAACAGCTCGCCCACGATGCAGAGGCCGAAGCTGAGCACGAAGATGACGACGAGATAACCGCTCCCCCTCCTCCCACGACCTCTCAACAACACCACCAACATCAGCAGCAGCACCACCAGCAGCACCACCCGAACGCCTTCGACCTCGCAGCTGCGGGTATCCTGGCCAACGGCCCTCCCCCTCCCGACTCGGACATACATCCCGATCTTCACGGCCTACCGGCACAGTTCGCCATGGAAGCTCACATGGGCAGTCAAGGCGGCCATGGTGGCCCGGGAGATATTCCCCTGACCGCTGAAGACCTGGCAAAGCAGAGCGGCTACCATCAGCTGGTCATCGACAGTGCTCTAGCAAAACGTCTAGCCAACAACGAGGGACACCGCCTTGCGGTACAAAGACGTGGAGACCAAAACCTCAACTTAAAGAGGCGTAGCAATGTCGAGGCTCTGCTAGCTCATGTCTCTGGTCAGGAAACGGCCAGCCCTTGCAAGAGTTGTCATAAAGGTTATGGCCCGTGGAACGGCTGTGTTGTGGTGAATGGCCAGATGTGCGGCAGCTGTGCCAACTGCTGGTTTAATGCGAGCGGGTCAAGATGTTCCTTCCATGGTAAGTATACATGTATCGCTTCAAGAGAAGGAACGAGATGGTGAAGATACGGGGAGCTAACCGACATCAATGCAGAGAACAACCTCCCTCAGCACATGCCAGCGGTCCAGATGCCGCCTCAGGTGTCTGCAAACACAAGCTTCGCCGGCGCAGCGCCGATGGCTCCCGGCATGGTCCCCGCAGGCCCTAGCGGCTTCGGGCAGCCAGGCGGCAACCACACAGTGGCCCAGTTCACAAGAGATGCACTCAACAGAGCGATGGCGGAGGTCCGAAGTGACGACCCAAACATTCGGTTCCAGTTCCGCATCGAAACGGCGGCGCGGGAGCTAGCGCTGGCTAGCGCCGAGTACGCCGATTTTCTGGCTCAGCAGGCGGGCCACGACCCGAGTCAGCACCCTCAAGACGGCGAGGGCTCCGTGCCGGAGGCGGCGATGGGAGACGGGAACGACGGACCGTGAGAGTCGGCTCACGATTCACTCTTAATCGACCCTTCTTTGCGTCTTCCACATACTGGCCCGAGAAAAGCGGCCGACGATGATCATGTCCACGGCCTGAGCAACATCACCGTGACCGATTACCAACCCGCATCAGTCCTCCGATGCAGTCGGGCAAAATGTTGTTCTTTCCCTGTCACGATGCCGTGGATGACAAAGCTTCTCTATCATCATCGTACCACTTTGCATTTGAGAACACGCGGGCATGGGCGCCCGACTTACTCGCTCTCCCTCCCAATATACACTTGGCACCTGCGTGGTGGTAGGGCGGCACCGTCTATGCGAACACATGGAGAACGGAAACCAACAGACCAATGCGAAAACGACCCAATGACGACAGAGGGACACACACACACATACAGACATGGGGAGCTTGGGATTTCCCTGCAGCACCAGGCAGGCATACGGTCATCAGAGAATAACAGCAAAGCATAAGGCAATGGGAAGCATGAGTTTTTGTTTTTTTGGGATTGGTTCACCTCGTACAATCATCACGCACACATACACTTTTACGCGTGAAAAGGAGCTGAGTTGACAGCTACCTTGGGCGAGGCTAATGGGCGTGCATACTGAACACACACATATAGATTGATACCACGGTTCTTTCATACATCAAGCATGCATTCGTCGTGTACCATTGCAGCGCAGCATGCCGTGAACCAGGGCTCCCCATACTGGGGCCGGTCAGCTGGCAGCTTGTCTCTGTGACCTCAACCTCTTGGCTTACTGCATCTCTCACACCGGGTTTTCGTTCCTCAAACTAGGCTACAGTGATCACGCATTATAACCAGGGTTCAGGACTCACTGACCATGTCTTTACTCCATGCTCCGCCTCGCATCGCGCCTCAGCTGGGTCCCAGACGGGCACTAACACGGCGCAGCAGACCCGACACGGGAAAGGTCAAGGCTTTTTTCGTTGCCTGTAATATTCCGGTCACCTATATCCAACGTATGCCCAGCGGTGCGATCCTGAACCGTCGCTCACCTAACCCGCCCCAGAATCGTCTGACGTCCGACGTCGTAGGAAGGGGGAAAGGCCACCAGCGGCCTGCGTCACTCGATATAACGCGCCTCACGGTGGCGAGCCATATTGGGGCGCATTCTCCCTCCCTTGGAGCCCAAGCACATGCGTTTTAACGGTCAAATCCCATGTGAGAGTCAACGGCACACTCAGCCCATCCAACCAGCATCCCTTCTGTTCAGGTAACTCGGCGATAACATGAAAGTAAATCGGTGATAGTGGTGAGAAGTCAGTGTCTTCGGATTCGGCTCGATCCTAGCGAAGAACACGTAGAAAACCCTTTTGCTTTGCTTCACACCCACAACCGCTTGCTCAGGACGGGTTTGCCACGGGTATAATGGCGAGCAGGAAAAACCAAACCACAAGGCGATCTCACCACCAAGGGCGACCAACAAAAGTCTATATCATTCGTCCCATGTGACATTTCGACGTGAGGAGGGGGGGGTGGTGCAAAGGGGATCTGAGAGCAGAAAACCACCCACATCAGCCCAAAAGAAACTCCGGATCTTCGCCTCCGCCAACACGCGGCAGGTCCCCGATGGTTGTGCAACCCCAGCTTCTCGTCGACACCTTAATGCCGAAGGAAAGCTGTCGGCGATGATGAGATAATACCGGGCAAAATTCCCATCACCTGCCTCTCTCTGCCTTGCCTTCTGAACCTCACCGTGGTATGGTAATCACTATGAAACAGCAGAGTGTAACCCCACAGTCCCCCCTCTCCCCTCACAACTCTACCTCACCTTGCTGCTGCTCTCTGTTCGGCTGCACTCTCCGGAAGGGGGCTCTCACAGACTCTTCAGCCCAGGGGCGGAATGAACGGGGTCCAGATCTCTCACCGTTGTTGCGCGTTCCAAAAATTCTCCGACTTGCTCGTTCCAGGGGGTGGTTGGGTTGGCAAACAAGGTCGCAGCAAGCAAGAGAAGGACGAAAAAAACCAAGGTCCCACGCAAGGGAACGAAATGAAAGGGGTCACCAAACATGCAACGCAACCAAAGAGAATCCTTCCCAGAAAAAGACATCAATCAATATCCAACATCCAAATATCACTGAAGATACTTGGACTTGTAACCTAGCGGCGAACAACAAATCCTGCGACATGTTTGAGAAAAATTTCGTCCAACAAACGGAGGGAGAGAGGGACAGAACGAGAAGGGATCAAAGCCAGCCCCCGGTCCGCACACCATTATCCAACATTCGATTAAGGTAAAAGACCCAATATCAGACGGTACAGTATTATATGTGTGGTTGGGCGAGAACCGGACCCCTACCAATAACAGACGTGTTGTAGCAACAGCTCCTGCAGCTGCTCCGCGCGCTAGAGATTCAGAAGAGCTGCAGGAGTGAGCCTCTCTTACAAGAAACCGTCAAGTTGAGAGAAGCCCCATGTCGACGATCGTGTGTGTGTCTTCAACCGCATCAGGAGGACGAACTCACAGAATTGTCGCAAGTCTCAAAACTTGCTGCGCCACTCCGTCAAACGTACAGCAAGATATGTGCCCGCCGATCGTCGGCCGATGCAACTGTCCCAAGCTGCCGCCGCCGCCGCTTGGCGACGTGTGGAAGAGAGTTTTTGCTCTTCATCCAACTGCATGTCCAACGTCAAAATGATAATGTGAGAAGACGTCCGTGTCGAACTGTAGGAAGCTTAACCATTGGATGTGAAGCTCCATCCTCGGTCACACACACACATATACATATGCACGCACACCATCATTACCTCACCCTCACTCCCCTTCCCAAGCTTAAATCCTAACTTCAGACCAAAAAACCGCGGGCGCGGACTTGTGAGTGTGTGCGTGTGGCGGGGGCGAGGGGATCTCTCGGGAGGGAGTTACGAAGTAGGTCGGTCCCTCTGGGACCGAGCAGGACCCTTGAAGAAGGGGAGAGAAGGCAGAGGAGTCAGTATCGACGAGTCGAAAGGCTAAATCCCTTTGGCATTACGTTACGCTAGGGAAGGTACTGCATAATAGGTCGTTTTCTCTCGGGACTAGCCTTACGTAGGTCTACGTCGTTCACCCCAAGAGACGGAAGCGGCGGTTGCGGTCTCGATGCCGCGAACGGCGAAATTGGGGACGGAAAACGGAGATGGCCGTCCGCGCCGGAGGTCTACTATAGCGTCGGGTCTGGACTGGGCTACCTACAGCAACTAAAATTTCTCGACTACCTTCAAACCCCAGTGGGTGGATTGAGGGCGATCATAGGTAAATCTGCGGATCAGGGCCGCACCGAGACGGAACCTTCGTGTAGTGCATACTGTAGACTTGGTGATGCTATGATACCCAATGTCGCTGCCTGCACAGATGCTGTTTGAGATGAGACTACAGACTGGAAAGGCGCACAGTGATAATACGGCTCGCTGGGCGGCAAAAGCATAGGTTTAAGGAGTCTCTCGACCTGCGCGCAACATGAGGAATAAGGAGACTTTCGTAATTAAACAGAATATTTAACCGCCTTCCGTCCATCGGACTCTCTCTCAAATGCATTCAAGTTCATTGCTTCTTTTCCTCTTGCTATCCATCCGTCCGGGCTTCCACATCTCGTCCTCCGTCTCTCACTCGCCGCCATCCGTCAATAGTCGGGTTTCCTCGTCCCGCCGCGGTTCCGTCTACTGCTGTCCGAACATCATGTTTGATACAGAGCTACCTCCCCAAGTTTCCCCCTATTCCTGAACGCGGACCAACGAGGCAGAACCAAAAAAGTGTACCGCCTAGTCTGTGAGGCAATATACCGGGGGGATAGCCGAGGTGTAGGAAGAAAAAATACAGTCGCGTAAGCAAGGGAATCTGGGGAAACCGTAGCAGGGTCGCCGTTTCGTCGTCGTCGGGAGGAGAGTAAATTTCATGAGCCAGCCTCCACGACGCTTACTGGCTTTGGTCATGCAATTAGAAGTAAAGGGTATTGTTGAAAAAAAGCAAACGTTTTTGAGTGTTTAAATCAGACCGCACAACCGCAGGTTCTCCTGAATAATGATGTCTGTTTGTCGCGCGTTAGTCTCATTTCTTTGTGGGCTTTGTACCAGCTCTGTGGTTCCAATCGGGGCTAAACTCACCATTCACTGCCGCCATGACAAAGCGGATCTGGGTTGTGTCTGTCGCGCAGGTGAAGTGCGTGTAGATTTGCTTGGTCTCATGCTGGTTCAGGCTGACGAATCGGTTGAGAATGTAGTCGCATGCCGCGGCGTAGTCATCACCACCCTCATAGTCGGGGAAATAGTTCTTCATCGGGCTGACGGGCAACTTCTCCTTGAAACGGTCGATCTTGTTGAGGAACAGAATGATGGATGTCTTGATGAACCATCTTGAGTTGCAGATGGAGTCGAAAAGCGTCAAGGCTTCCTGCATACGGTTGACAGTCTCGTCCTCGAACAGGAGCTGGTCGTACTCGGAAATGGCGACGAGGAAGAGGATTGTGGTGACGTTCTCGAAGCAGTGGATCCACTTCTTTCGCTCTGATCGCTGGCCACCGACATCGAACATTCGGTACGTCAGGTCGCCGATGATGAATGTGGTTTCTGTGATACCCGTCGTCTTGACACGCGATCGCAGGACGTCCTGGTCGTTGGGCATGTAGTCGGGGGCGGCGATACGAGCAATGTTGTCGAAGTAGCTGGGTTTGTCAGCAAGCGATAGTCAGCGCCGAGGACTGGAAAAACTCACTATCTCGCAGAATCGTTAAGCTGGTATTCGCGAGAACGCTTGAAACACTCCTGAACACCGCGATCCTTCCACAGAGCCTCGATGGCACTTCCAACTTCAGGGGGCAGAACGTCGCCTTCAATCTGAGCGGGTTGCATGAAGATGGTCTGGACGTGGTACTCCATGCGTTGGTCCTCGAGGGGCAGCTCAAGCGATTCCATAGCCTCGAGAATGACGCGCATCGATTGCACCGTGTTGCTGAAGATGATTTCCTTGAAGGATTCCCGCTCGTCACGCGAGTAGCCGCC